ACACACTGACAGGCTGCCCTTGTAGTTCCATCCTTAAAGATGCCTCTTTTTCCAGTTTGGATGAACATGCCATTAAAAACTGAGGCCTTTACTACTTCCTCTGATGCTATAGATCCTGCCAAATAATGTGTTCTTCTGTATTTGCTAATTGTTGCCCTGCTGCCTGTTAATATACATCACGCTATGGGTCATCATCTGCTCTGAAGACTGGTTTTCAGTGGTGTGCACACTGTGGTATAGAGGATAAGATATTTCCCTTTGAAGGCAGTTTATAAATCTTATTGGGCTTCTTCATGATGAAAGGCACTATAGATACATAAGACATCAAAGCTGTGTAAAGATCAGTAGTATTTGTTTGCATGAGGTTTCTCTTTCTGTTCCTTCTGAGGATTTTGAGCTTCAAAGTTTCAACTTTAAAGAAGCTCAAAAACCAAAAGAAAACCCTAGCGAAACCCACCATGTTACAGCTGGTTTGAGGTCAGGCCAGCCAAGGGCCACAGGATTCTGACATGGGCTCAAAATCTCTTCTCCAGCCTTCTTCTCTCTGCCAGCAAAAGCTGGTGCAGAGAAAATTTTTGGTCTCTCTTAATGACAGTGGGCCCAGAGCAGTCAGTTTTGGAGAGGAAAAATCCTGCTCAACACCAAAGGAGGAAAAACAGCTTAATTCAAAACACAAGTGTTTCTGTTGTGACTTGTCAGTCAACTAGCAAAATTATTATAATTTCTCAGTATACAGTAGCAGTTGGCCTAAAGAATCAGATTACTTTATTATACAGTTTATGTTATGTATTTTAAGGTACACTTTATTTTTCATTTAAATGTTTAAATATTGAGAATCTCATTGTATGCTTCTGCAGGTGTCTAGAGGAACTGGGAATAGAAATCTAGTACATTAATTGAAAACCATTGGCTGTAAGTAACACTGGTTTTGACTGCACTGTACTTTAGCGTCAGATGAGTGTTTAGTGAGTTATCCCTGACACACAAGCTTTTATTTTTCAACAGAAATTTTCAAATTTTCTCCACTGCAGAAAATTTTCTTTACTTCATCGTGTGTTCTTGTAACATCAAAATGAATCTGTGACCCATAAAAATAGGTTTCTATATTTGACCCACACAGAACGTAGAGATGTATTACATAATGTAGTAAACCAAAATTAAAAAAAAACAAAAAGGCAGGTGACCCTGTATGCCCAATCTGAAAATCCTTCTCCTTTAAAGGCCTGTGCTGTCTGGCTATCCATCATCAGGAAAGCTCTATCTGTGAGCAGCCAAAATATACACATCTGATGCCACTTGTCTTTTTTTTTTTTTTTATGGTCACACAGAACGTAGAGATGTATTACATAATGTAGTAAACCAAAATTAAAAAAAACCAAAAAGGCAGGTGACCCTGTATGCCCAATCTGAAAATCCTTCTCCTTTAAAGGCCTGTGCTGTCTGGCTATCCATCATCAGGAAAGCTCTATCTGTGAGCAGCCAAAATATACACATCTGATGCCACTTGTCTTTTTTTTTTTTTTCCATTCTTTTCAAAGAAAAAAGGATCTAAATGAAAGGAGAAGTAGTAATATAGAATTGGAATGGATCTATGTATGTCTCTGTAGAACAACAGAGAATGGAAGCGATGAGCCAGACCCAGATATATGAGTGAATCCCAGACTTTCTGCATATCATCCACACACTGCTCTTCAGATAAGTCATGCCAAATAATAGATAAGCTGTGTAGCCAAGCAGAGTAGAGAACAATAACCTGTCCAGTACACTTTATCAATATGAAATCATAGTCCAACAGCCAACGGGAAGAATAGGAATCAGGAACTGAGTTTAATCGGTTGCTGTTGCTTGCAAGGCCTCCAGAGGCCTTACAGAAGAGATGAATGCAAATGAAGTGCAGTGGCACAGGGTAAAAAGAAGTTCAGTCTCGAGGTGAAAATGTTTGTTTTTGGAAAGAATACAGGAAATGTTTCTATACTGGAAGAATCCAACCAACCTTGAAAGTAAATGTTCTTATTCTGAGTTATTTACTCTATTTTTTGGTAAGGAAAAATTACATATTTTTTAAGGAAAAAAAATATATTTTTTTCCTTACCACAAATTTTCTGCAAAGCAGAAAGCATAACATTTGAAATAGGTCTTCATGTCCCAGGAGGCTGTCCTAGGGTATATCTGGCACAGGAGGCATCCCTCTCCACTTTCAGAGCTGTCCCTCTTTATGTTAATTATTCTTGAACTTTACCCTTTCTTATTGTAAGTTAATAGCTTGACTACAAAATTGTCATATCAGCTTCTCAGGTTTTTTTTCTCTTTCTCTCCAGCATAATAACTATTGTATTATTTACATTTAATGAAAACAGCTTCAGCAGGACCTACTGAGGCAGACGATGGTTCTGCGTGTTCCTCAACACAAAGTTCGCAATAGAGTTTTGGTTTGGGGATCTTTCCTGTGATTGAGAAGACTGGGTTTCACATTCCTGCTGCCTGTCAGCTCCCATGGCTTTCAAAACTGTCGCCCCAGTTTAGTATCTTAGCCACTGGTAATTAAGTTAAATAGAGGAAAACATATTTATCAGTTACGCTTTGTCTAACGGCTGTACAGACCTCTCCAACCACTGTACGTGGATGCGTGTGCAAGAACACACACACACACATGCACATATTCAGGTATTGGCCCTGTTTTCAACAAACACCTGGTTCCTCTTCACAAAGGGGATCCCACCAGCTTCAGGTTGTGCTGCAGAGCCAGTGGCTTAAACTCTGGAGACACATCGACCCTGCACCTCCACCCCTGGGCAAGGAAAGGCTTACACTAGAAAGACTTACACCAGGAGGCGAGTGCTGGCCAGCTGGAGTGAGGGCTAGTAGTCACAGGGGAAGAACTGTGCCCACACCTAAATAACATGTTAAGTGTTAGCTATCTCCTCCCTGCTCTGCTGATGATCAGAACTGCACCTCAAACTGGAAGGAGACCAGGATCCCCAGCTGCCAGGCTGATGAGCAACTAAGCCAGTTCTCTTGAGGCTCCAACTAACAGCAAAACCTCTTTCATAGAAACAGGTGTTCAACCAAATAAAACTGATGATTTTTGGACATGGAGGATGAAAAATTTCTCTTACACTTTCTGCAGAACAGTCTGCAAAAGCTGATTTGCTCCCTTCCAGAATTTCAGGATTAGTCCCCAAATACGCTTGAGTAAAGTCCCTGCAAACAGCTTTATTTAGACGTGAAAGGAAAAATAACTTGTCTTGTTCACTCCATTTTAAGTTTCCAGTGCTCAGCGCCCATGAAATGGATTGCTTATGGGGAGATAATGCCTTTTTTGTGCCTGTGAAAAATGTCTTCCTGGTTAATAGGTTGATTAAAACTGTATATGCTCCAGAAGATAAATATGATTATTTGTCATACTTGCCCAAGATAATGACAGTAAAGAAGACAAGGTTGAAATTCTGTATGATTTCCTCTCTTCCACATCCAGGGACATTCAGCACACAATACGCAGATGGCGTGCCACATAAAGCATCGCATTAACTGTTAAACATTGTTTCTTCCCATTAACTAATTTAACAATATGTCCCTGCTATTAAAGAAACAGACAAATTACTGAAAACTTCTGTCAGCTTAATCTTGATTGCTAAAATAGGCCATTTGCCCAGATGGGATTGTTTTCTGGCCTATCAGGTTTGAAATGTCTAGAAATTCGGCAACCACCAGCCCAGACTCTCGCAGTGTTGATTCAGCTCTTCATCCTTAATTGAGTTTCAGGCATGTAACTCTCTGGAGATTTTTGAGTGACAGCCTAAATATCGAAGGCTACTCTGCTCTGCGTGTATGTTAGGTGACCTGAATTTTCTAAAACGATGAGCTTTTAGGAGCCTGGGTTAAGTCAACAGATGCTGGAGGTGACAAAACTCACAGCAAAAGCCTCTGAGATTTTTTTTTTTGCAGGAGCGGGCAGTGGACCAAATTAAACAAGCATTTCCAGTTGGTTTTCATTTGCCACCTTCTACAGCAAAGACACTATCGCTGACCTTGGGGCTGGTGGGACTGTGGAGGCTCCTGTGGTAAGCACGGGAATGGTGGAGTAGCCTTCCCACCACTGTTCCTCACACTGCCGTCCTCACCATTCTGATCTCTTTTTATCACCATTTTCCTATTTCTCTTTTTCCTTCTAAGCTATATAATAGTTATGGAGGGAGCTCATGTATTACTAAATAGTAACTGATGGGCTAATTTTAGGAACACACATGGCCTCCATCATTCCTATAATTAAATGTAGCCAGAAACTTGGTGAAAAATCAGTGTAAGTGAAACACAGAGGGCCACTGAAGTCACTTGAAGCAACTTGAAACTTGCTGCAGCAGGGCTACATTACCTGCTTTGAATAGCAGCATTGCAAACATCCCCTTATTTTAGTGTATCACCTTGCACAAGAAAAGTTGATAATGAAAATAAACTTCCTCTTCTATGTTTTATTCTTACACTGCCTTGATGCAGAGAGTAAGCAATTTTTAAAATAAAAGAGAAAGCAATTAAGGAGCCACTTTTTTTGTGCCATTCTAGTATTTATGCTTCTAGTATTTATGTCTTGAAACTTGATTTATTTATTTTATGCATTTTGGCTGTTGTTGGTTTTTGCCTAATTTTATTTGCTCAGTTGCAATTACTGCATACACTATGGTATCTAGCCGCTATTGGTGTACTTTTCCCCTCTATTTGTTCAGGGGTTTGTTGTGGTTTGCAGTAACCCTTTGCCAAATATTTTCATAAAGAGAAAAAATGAACCATCATGAAACCAGCAGAATGTTCACCAAGTGGAGAGAGCTGCACAGTGCAGTAAAGAGAATTCAAGATCTCACATGTTTTTCATGTGGCTTGAGTCTTGATTTACTTTTACATTATGCACATATACATACACAACCCTTCATCTAGAGAAAACCCATTTCCAGCTGAAAAGCACAGAATAAAGCTTGGAACAATAAGCTGATGGAAGAATTCCTCTCTCTGTGGAAGATGTTTTATTCTCAGTCTTGTACATCAACATAGATTTACATGGTCACTCTGCTTCCCTGTAAGTGTAACTCTATTTTAAAGATTTCTGTCTGTGCATTTCACTATGTTTGGGTTTTTTGAACAGCCTCATCTGTTTGTCCATATAACTGGGCACCTCCAGATGTAATTCATCCTATTTGCCAGAAGTTTGTTGTTAGTTGTTTGTTTTTTTTTTTATAATACAATTACACTGATCCAATGGCTAATCGTTACCAGAAGGGACAACTCTCTTGTGCCAGGACTTGTCTAACCCTCAGAGCTCTGAAGTGCTAGAAAACTACTCATTTTTCTCCTGGCTTTCTCCTGAGCTGTGTTCTTACGCAGTCACCGTGCTGATGGGAGGCGAACAAGGGCAGAGCAGCTCTTTTCAGAGGCAGCCAGCAGGTAGAGCAGGTCAGATGCTTTGCACAATTCCAGGAGCAGCCACTCATTTTAGTACAGTGCAAGTCACCCTCTGACCACTCCTGTCTGTCTCCAAGTCGCCCTCTGACCAGTCCCTTCTTTCTCCAGTGACTGTGCAGGGAACTTTGGATGACCAATTTTGGCAAGTTATTTAATCCAGAGACAGATGACCCGAATACCACCTTAGAAACTAAAGGTAGGCAACCTTAAGGACATCATGCAATTTGCATGTATTTACTTCAGTTCAGTACCTGACTAGTTTTATCAACCTGGTTACTTGTTAAAACTTGGGAACTCAGCACTAATATGCATAAACATAGGCAATACAGGTACCACAGCATGCACACAAACTAACAGAACTATGAAAACAGTACTGTTTTTCATGTGCATATGATGGCAGCATTCACCACAATTTATTTAATATTGGATTACAAGCATCAAGCTAAGGAAAAGATGTCAACTATTACACTTCAATCGCTTTAAAGATATTATTTTAGTGCTGTCATGTTTCATAGGAAAACCATACTTCTCTATTATTCATCTGACATTTAAAGCTTTTTTTTTTTATGTTCTTTCCTAGGAATATAAAGACTTAATCACAAAGGACAGGTTTTAGAAGAACTTTATTAAATCTGACAACTAACTAATTGGACTGTGTGCAATTAATAAAAAAACCTGATAATTCAGCATTCAACAAAGGATTGTTCACTGATAGCATTTTTTTTTATCTCTGCGTTTTTGCAGACCTACAGTTCTGCAAATACAATGTTTGAGTAAGACGTTATTCTTCCCAGTTTACACCCACACTTCATGAAATTACTGCAGTGTGGAAAATGTCACATTGCTTCTTTTGGTAGAAGAGCCATAGGAACCACTGAAATACAAAAAAAAGCCCTAGTCCTGCCCATACATTTTCTTAGCTGAAAATATTTGTGTGGGACAGACTGGGTCTCTCGCTCTTTTGTGCCTTTTTCACTTACAACTTAAATTGCTGTACAAATATAGTGCAGACTCTTATGCAAACTATCAGATTCACTATTGTGGGATCCAATAAAAAAGCTAATACTGAGGGAACTAGTGCACTTTGTAGAGATCTCTTCTGATGCTCTAGAGAAGAGCTCAGCAGGTCACTACTTGCATATTGGATGTTTTAAACTTTCCCTTCAGACATACAAAAATAGTTTGGATTAGATACTTTCTCTGTTGCAAATTTAAATACTTCCTTTATTTTTAGAAGAGTGCACTGTATGCTTTACCTTTAGGCTTAGTAAATGACTTGATGGTTATATTCCTAATGGAACACGTAAATGTCACAGAAAGTACTGTTCTTTGTTTCATGGAGAAATTTCCTAAAATTTCTCTTAAAAACTGGGATGGGATAAGAGTTTTCTGGGGTTTTGTCCTTCTATTTATTACTGAAGATCAGTTTCTTCTTTTAGGTCTTCATAGGATATAGTCTTCTTTCAAGTTGGGTCCAACTTGACTTGGAGGGTTCATTTCCTCACCAAACAACTATACCAAGCACGCTGAAAAGTACAATATTAATTGTTTTGTTTTGAATTCCCTTGTTGCTAGATGTTCACTGGCTTACCCAGGTTTAGTAAACTCAGTCAGTAACCGGCTCAATCAGAGTTTTCTTCTCTGTTTTCCAGCTGGGACACTTCTGCTACTTCCGTTCCTCCTCTTGCTGCAAGACACATCTCCAAATGGCTCTGAGTCTTTCACTTGGATTTAAGTAAGTCTTCCCATTCAACAGCGGACTCGCTATTTTTAGGAATTGCTGGAAACAGTGACTGCATTTTAGTTCGGAATTCTTTCATCTGTAAAAGAGATTAACAAATAAAATCAGTTAACTGATATAAGGAACAAATAAAGTAGCACTATGAACCCTGGGCTTATTTCACAAAATAAGCTGTGTGAAGTAAAGAAGTAGTAAAAAGACTCTAACAGAAAATTAAGAAATTATCTCTGATTAGGTTGGTTCAATTAACAAAGTTAAAAAGGGATCCACAGCAATCCCCCCTTCTAAAGCACCACACTGGGGTGCCTAATTTGGAGCCTTTGCCTGAATGATTCACTATGGTTACACACTACTATATATACACACATACACATTTAAAATGTTTTTGTTTGGAGGAAAATTACCTCAATAGAATGTGCTCATATTTTGATTGCAGTGTTTTTTTCTACATGTGTAATGGATTACAGGACAAATAGATCCATTTAAGGCTTTTAAAACAAGGATTAAAGAACAAATACTGGTCAGCTCTCACAATTTAGGTTTATCCTACGACATGGATACAGGTGACAAAACAAGGTCTCGTTCAAATGTATACATTAGTAGGAAGGAAAAAACATGGATACAGGTGACAAAACAAAGTTCAAATGTATACATTAGTAGGAAGGAAACCAAGATTTATCATGATATACAGGACCAAGCTTTTCCTTCACTGTTGTTAAATTAAAATGCTACGAAAGAGGAAGTTTGCTAGTTTTATATCCTGTATATCAACACATTAATGCCAATTACCAAATCTGTATTTATGATAACCGTTCTATCACCAATGTCTGATTCAATATTCCTAGCAGGCCAGAACTGAAATATAATTTCTTTAAAAATCACTTCTGTTTGAAGACAGTATTTAGATTTCGCAGGTTTCTTTCTTCCAAGATTTTTACATATATTTTTATTTTTATACATATTTTTAAAAGATAGGCATGGAAAAATCAAATCAGTGAAAATCTTGTTACACAAACAGCAGGACAGAGGGGATGTTTCGGACTGCTATTTTTAGGAAGCTGCATAGAAGCTATGACATTCACACAGAGAAGACAGGATGTGGTATTCAAGCACTGGATGCAATGACCTCTTGAAGACAAAATGCTGTCTCAGGCAATATGTCCCAGGGAGAGGTTCCTGGAAATCTACATATTCTAAACAGCCACACAGGCATCTTCTCTAATATTTTGTGTGTTATGGCTCATCAGTTTTTTTACAAATACCTTTGGGCCATTTTCTGTTCAAGTCCTTCTGCATATGCATAATTCTGACAAAGAACTGGTACTTCTTTAGAGAAATGCTGCTGGATTGCAATTATTCAAGTTACAGCTGATACAAAGAATGAAACAATTTACAAAGAAATTACCAATCCTTTACTAAGACAATAAATAACTATGATGGATGAAAGCATTTTAGAACTCAAGTTTTGTGTAAAAATGCCTGGGTACCGCTAATCAAATAAAAACACGTTATATAAAGTAGGAGGAAAATTCAGAGCCAAGTTATCCTTTTTGTTTCATACTGATTGTGTTCTTATGTAAAAACTAATTCAACCTCTTTATATTTTACTCTGATCAGATAGCAGTTTAGATTAATTATTCGTTCTTGTTTTTTAAAAATCTTGGCAAACACACACAATTGTTCCTAAACTTCTTGTTCCTAATACTTCTTACTTGAAACAGAAAAGCTCTCATAGGCAGCTAATATTTCCAAGAATACTAAACACCAGTATCACACTTCTTGATGAGGAAGATGCTGCAATTAGGAATCTGTGTCGTGCCTTGCCCTTTCTTTTTAGTTACTCGGGAGGTCTTCCATCTCCCTCCCTGGAAATTTCCTGTATTTCCTCCAGATTCCACAACGCACATGCCAGCGCTCTCAAATCAAAAGGCATTAATTTAATTATGAAAGCTAACATGCTATGTACTAAGTACTGGAATGTTTTGCAATAGTTCACTGAAATGGCTGCCTCTCTATTATTGTCGACACTGGGGTACTCGGTTCAACTGGGATAATGGCTTCAATTAATAGTGCAGTTAACGGAGCACTAAAAGCAGAGTGTATTTTACCTCCTTCTGCTGCCTGCAGTATCACAGGCCACTCTCCAGCTGCTGCTTCTGAACCCAGTGGTACATGAACGATCTGTAACACATTTTCTTGACTTAACATTCCAACCTGCTCCGTTCCTGGAGGCAGCTCTCTGAAGTGAATTGCACTCGAGCGAGTTTTATTATTTTTTTAATCACAGATACTGCAAAGCTTGACGCTGTTTTTTTCCTGCCAAATAAATTACAGTAACTGTTCCACCTCTGACTGTCAGGCTTCTTTCTAAAAGGGTATCATCTACCTTACTGCATTAAATAATCTGTAATAGCTACAGATCACTGTTATTTTCTTATCTTAACCTAATGATCCTGCCTCAGGTGGCAAAAATATGGGGACCTAAAAGCATCTTCCATCTAATAATCTCTTTTTAATGTACATCGTTGACAGAATGTCACGCAAAAATTGGGATAGCACTATTACCGGGAGCACTTACGTGGCCGTTCATATTAAAATGAATGGAAGAGGGGCTAAAAGAGTCTATTTGAATCCCAGAATGAAAGTTTTACGAAGAAATGTTCTCTTTAATGTCTGACATTCATAATGGGCCAACCCAGATTCTAGGAATTATTGCTTTCTTATTTTAGTACTTGCACCAGTGAGAACTGCTTACATTAGCTTCCAAGTGAAATGAGGTGAGATGCCCTGAACCGGAATATCACCCAGGGTGTACGTGCCCCGTGTTCTCCTCAGCCACCTTCCCTTTCACAAGGCATGAAGATGAGACGGGCTGCCCCGGATTTAAGAGCATCAGAGAAGATTCTTCTTTGCCACCTTCCTCCCAATCTTAAAACGACTGCTGTCGCCCTCGTTAGCAAACGATTACCGAGGTCCGCATGAAGAAATAGCAAGTTATTTGTAGAAAACAGCCAGCACTGAGCCCTTACGGTACTGGGAGAGCAGAGCAGAGCAGAAATGCTGGCTGAAGGTGATTCTCTGATTCTGGGTGTAAAATGGGGGCACTCGCTGCGGGTCACCCTGTACTGGTCTGCACCCTGATCTCTACACTAAGCATGGAAAATAGAGCCCTGGTTCATAGAATCATTCAGGTTGGAAGAGACCCTTGGGATCATCGAGTCCAACCATCTACCCTACTCTACAAAGTTCTCCCCTACACCATATCCCTCAGTACCGCATCTAAAGGTCCCTTAAACACATCCAGAGATGGTGACTCAACCACCTCCCTGGGCAGCCTGTTCCAATGCCCGACCACTCTTTCTGTGAAAAATTCCTTCCTAATGTTCAATCTAAACCTCCCCTGTTGGAGCTTGAAACCGTTCCCTCTTGTTCTGTCGCTAATTACCTGTGAGAAGAGACCAGCACCAACCTCTCTACAGTGTCCTTTCAAGTAGTTGTAGAGAGTGATGAGGTCTCCCCTCAGCCTCCTCTTCCTCATACTAATGAGGAGTCAAGAGCTAATACTCATACCCTGGTTCATATTCTTACATCTTGCACTTCATTGGCAAAGGCACTGTGAATGTTTGGATCATTCAGAACTACAGGTGTATGAAACGGCCCTCCGAGAGTGCAGCCTGGCCGTACACATCCTCATCTTTCACAATCCTATACTGTCCTAGCACACTCTGCACAACCTGTTGGCCGATTCCAGTGTTTCAGGCTCGCACAGAGCCTGAAAGCAGCAGCAGAATTTTGTTGAACCATCTAGAGGAGTCAAGAGCTCATATTAACCCCCCGTCCCACGGAGACACACACATCCTTAACCTTATGCAGCGCTGAATACTCTCTGTGAAATCAGAGGGCCATTCACGATGCCTAAAATTAAACACAGAGACACATTTTTTTCAGAAACCTATCCCTATAAATCCTGTGGAACTGAGTAAAACATGCCCTGTGCTTTTTAGAAGAAAAATAACGTGAAAATAACCTCATTGAACTTTACAGGGAGAGGGGGAGAGGATCGTCACTGCATAGAAGGAAGCTGTCACAGTTCCAAAGCACTATACACATGCAGTGCCCTCCCACGGCTACGACATACTCTGTCTCAAATTACTGATGAACTGCAAATCACAAGGGTCAGGCTGTCCCTTTTCCAGGGACCGGGTCGACACAGGAAGAGATAGAACACATAAAATCCTTTCCTCTTGTTACTATTCCAGGTAACAGGCAGCAGCCATGTTACCCATTCACAAATGAGTGGATGTCACAGATGAGAAGGCAGCTGCTCCACATCCCAAACGAGTTTTACCCACCCCACTTCCTCTGCTTTCATTTCCGTGAGAAGGTCACTTTGCTCCCAAAAGTGGGATTATTAACTGGTAGCCTGAAAGTATCTTTCTATACATCTATCATAAAAGGAAGAAGATGCCACTCCAGTAGAAAAGCCTAAAAACCCCAGTTCTCATTTAAGGATAGATTATTTTGAATACAGAAAAAAAAAAAGGAAGTGATTAGCTAATTACGATCAATGGGAAAGATAGCAAGACAGCTATTAAATTATATACACCAAGGCAGTAATTTTGTAAACCACAATCTGAAAAAAAAAAAAAGTAAGACAGCTATTAATTTATATATACCAAGACAGTAATTTTGTAAATCACAATCTGAAAAAAAAAGGATTTCCTTAGGTTCAGAGATACAAGAGTATCCTTCAAGATTTTATACATTTCCATGTTGATCTTTCTGAAATAAAGTGTCTGTAGTATAAGATATCTCAAAGTAGATGAAGTCAATGTCTCACTCTCAAGTCTAATCTCATTGATTTCAGCGATGCTGAATCAGGCTTCAAAATGTCTGTAGCATATGATATCTCAAAGCAGATGAAGTCAGTGTCTCACTCTCAAGTCTAACCTTATTGATTTCAGCGATGCTGAATCAGGCTTCAAAATAAAAATAATGGTAGAAAGTTTGGATTATACCACCTGGTTGCAAAAGGCTTTCATGCCATGCAGAAAAAATGCAGTGAAATACTTTTGAAAT